ACCACTTACACCCGTGGAACATTAGAGTCAACTTGCTGGAGAACTTTATCTCTTCGTTCTCGCTTTGTATGAAGTTATCATCACTATCGTGTTCGATAATACTTCTGATCTGCTTACATGATCTCGGTTTCCCGTGAATTATCGCGAATTATTGAATTAAACATAGATGTTTGCTTAGAGATATGACGAGATAAAAAGGCTATTTTATTATTTTATTGTTTGAAAGTGCTCCGTAATTATTGCTTAAAATTTTCATTTCTTTCAAATGTTTTTTAAATTTATTTAATTCTTTTTTTATCTCTATGAATAAAAGTTGATTTTTTTTCTTAATAAAAAGTTTAAAAAATGCTTAATAAGAATTTAAACATCTAAATCTTGAGCTCTTAGAGCTCCCCAATATTATTATTTTATACAATTATTTTATATAATATTAATATAAAATCGCTTTAAACAATTCAAAACAAACTGAAGGTTCAATATAGCCTCCAAACGATTAATAATTTATGCAATAATATTAATCACTTATGAGCCACTTTACAAACATTTTTGTAGCAGTCTTACATGAACTTTACTTATAATTTTTACAATTTGAGGAAAGTATATTTCGAATTAAATAAAAAGAACTTTAGATATTTAAATTGATTATTGTTTATCCTCAGAATACTACTCACTATTTTTGCGGTAAGCAATTTATCGTAGAGTAAATATCGATTATATTGTGATTCATTGTAAATACGCAATCGTCGAAATTGAAAGTCGGTTCTTCTCTCTACCCGGACGACAGAATGAAAACGAATAGATATTCATCGTAGAAAGCTGGTTACCATCATTCGTCGAATGAAAATTCGATCCTCGAACTATTCTACCTCCGCCCGTCGTGGACCAAAACAGATGGCTAAGGAAAAAGCTGAGCAGATAGAGGAATCATACCACGTGAAAACCGAGAAATCCGTCGTAATTCGTCCGCCGTCGCAATACCTGAGATTCATCTAATTGGTATCCAATTAACCGAAATTGGCGCAGTCAGTCTGAGAACCTTATCGTGACTCGAATGTCTTAAGAGCAGATTTTGCTGATTGCGAGAGAGGACGTGCCATTGTTCAATGATAGACACGATTTTATCGGACACGTCGCTGGAGTATGCATATTGATTCCGTTGAAGCGTTAATTTATACGATTAATGCCAATTCCTCTTATATATAATGAACAACAATAACAATTTATTTATTAAGTAGATGAATAATGTTTAAGTAGCATTTATATTATTGTGAAGATATTTATATCATTAATAAATATATAATTACAAAATTTATTACACTGAAAGAAAAGATTGATTGAATATAGCATAGCATTTTTAATTGGTTGCAGCAGCCAATTTTTGGTTGTGTTAGCCTATTTGTAATATCAGTATACCATTTTGATATTATAATTAATTGACGATGTTGCAGCCAATTAAAAATGTTATACCATATTTTACCATTTAATTTGCTGTAGCAGCTGTAGCATCAATCGTTTCTTTCAGTGTAGTAATTGTATAAAATTATTAACTATGGCACTAATATGTGAAATTCATACTTTTTTAATGGTACATTTTTTACAAAATTGATAATTGATCATACATTTTGTTTCTATCAGGTTGATAATAAATTGTTAAAATTCAGTAAGTGAAATATCTGTGAGTCTCCGCAGTTGTTAATACATAAATTATGTACTTACTCATAATGCGATAAGATGCAATTCGTATAACTAATTGGAACGTATTTATTAAACGAAGTTAAAAACATTTCAACTCTAGATGCAATGCGGAAGTCAAATAAAAACTTAGCAGTTCAAACTATTTTACTTGGATTTATTCTTGGAGTCACAAATATTACTATTTTGTTTATTTAAATTGTCAGAAGTTTCGAACTTTTCGAGCATGTAAAGTAGAAATAAATATTTAGAGAGAACTTACGGTAACCCGTACGGAAAATTGAAAAAGATCATCGTGCAAAAGTCCAGTCGAAGTTCCATCGACGGATAGCATCGACGGCAAAGCCAAAAATTTATGAACTACCCTCCCACGTTCGGACATGACGCGACGCCTCCTTACGCGCGTTCCATTCCGATGATTGCATTCTGAAAATGTATCGACGCCTATACATCACGTCTGTCCCAACGCGGCAGCGATCTCCGGTTTTCCGCCCTGGTGATCGAAACCATCGCCATTTACATTCGCGCGGCAACGAGGCGACAAGAAACCCGTTGGAATTCCGAGCATTGATTTAATTCTGACCTAATCACGATTGCCTCGCTTGTCCCTCTCCTCTACCCCTACGGACTTCGTTCCTTGGTAATGGCGACGACCACAGGGGCCCCAAGATCGTGGTATCCATTTCTGTCGATAAGGCCCGACGGCGACGCGCTTGCAAACGACACTCGAGCGTTTCAACGATCGCATTCTTTCCGTTTGACCGCATTGCGACGGGGCGCACGACGACTATTAGACTCGCACTCAATGCAAATTGGATGCTTCCTAGGCGCACGTCGTGGTTACGAGACTACGGTATACGCAGTCTAATTGCGGCCGACCGTGCCCTGATGCAAAGAGACCTCTACGGAATCGTGTCTTTTCAATTGAATCTTGTTCCACGAGGGAGAATTCAATGACCGTAAGAAATTCATGTCACCGATTTAATGGAGACATGTTTAAATTAAGAGAATATATCATGTTGAATTACAGCCTGAATAAAATGCTTGTTTTATTAATATCCAATTTTTTTTAGCAAACGTCTCTTTTCTTATTCAATTTTTTACGATATAAAAAATTAAATAATCAATAACAATAAAATACATATAGTGAGACGAGAGCCTTCTATAATAAAATTAAAAATTAAGGAAATTGTGATTTACAATGAGTTTATAAGAACATTGTATAAGTAATTTATAAGATATATCTTCCTAAATTCTTTAGAATGGAGTTCCATTTTAAAGAATGAAAATTGAGCTAGTTTTTAAAAAGAATGGCTCAATTTTCAATCTTTAACAGTGAGATTTTACTTTTTAGAATGAGATTTTCGAGTTTTAGAGAATAACTTGTTCTCTTTACGTAGGACTTTAAAATAAAAGAATTTTTAAAGGAGAATGAACAATTTTTTTAAAAAGAAGTAATGTTTTCTTATATTAAAATTAAATTCTTTATTATGATATTTATGTATAATCAAATTCTATTGTACATATATAATAGAATTATTTGTAATAAATGAAATAAATTAAGAAAACTAAATTAATTTGTGAGAATATTTTATAAGTAATTTTGTGAGAAATAGAACTTATTTTTCAATTAAGAGAAACAAATCTATTTTCTCTTTTGTAGGACTCTTAAAAAAAAATAAAAATTTTTATAAGGGCATGATAATATTTTTTAAGAAAAAATAACATGTTCTCTTAGATTACAATCTAAAAAATATTACAATCTAAAGGTTCTTTATTATTATTCTTTATTATTATTGATTATGATATAATCAAGTTCTGTTGTATTACAGCAGAATTATTTGTACTATAATAAAAAAAAAATAATAGTGTAGCATTTGTCATGGATGTTCTCACGACAACCTAGATCTCGCGACCGTGTCAACTGAAATTGCTTTCCGAGATTTTCCACGCTCTCGAGCGTGCGACACGATAGATAAGAAGAACGATCATTCTTCGAGCTTAGAAAGTTCCTTCTCTTACTTCGAGATAATATTCATAATTGCTCTACAGTCTCTTGCTGAGCTTTCTTTCGCTGATTGCCACGGCTGGTCGGCCAAATTATCCGAGGATCAGCTCGATCGTATCATCTTCCCTCTTAGCGTTCGCGTTGCTATTGTATCAGTCGTTTTGCAACCGAATTTGCCCGAAATCCCATTGGCTTTGGTTCTAATCTCGACCCAATAACGCCGAGATACCACGTGACGTAAACGTTTATTTCTCTCCTTTTATTTCGCAGTATTTTATGAAACTGCGAAACTCTACGCCATTTCCGGCGAGATTTATTGTTACCTCTCAGTCTGACATTGCATTCGCGCTCGCGAGATGTAATAATTAGTCGGCCGAAGTTTTGCGATAACGGCTGGGTGTCGGATTTTCGCTTCTGTGGCTCAGAAATCGCTGATAAAACTTTGCTCCGACCGCGGCTCGTATCTCGCAATTATTTCACTCCGCGGCGCTCTCCGTAACCTTCCTCGGCGGCATTCTTGTCGAAACGCTGCCTCGAGCGAATAAGAATATTGTTTGGCCGCTTTCCATTCCTTCCTTTACAATTCGAAGAGAGGCACAATTAACGTAATTCTCTTGGCCACGCCGATAGTCACGAACCTGATCGTACTCATCGCATTTTCGACTTTTCCTCCAGCGCTCTGGCCGATTTCATCGTCGAGTCTTATCTACCGCGACGAGAGGAATATCGCTAACGAGATGTTCCTAATTAAAACTACAGCCGACTGCCCGCGGCGTTATAATTCACGATTAACGACAACCTCTCCTTTCTCGGATCTACATCGCGAACTTTCAAGATCTTCGGCGACTGAAGTTGTACCGACATGTTAATTTGGTTTTCTCGGTTAAACTTTGCGACGGTTACGTGAAAGAGAGAGTTTCTTGTACCTAATTATTTTATAATATAGTGATCGCGATAGCGACATAAATAATCTCAATACTTGGCGTCAATATAATTATTTTTTTTAATTTATAATTTTGCAATTGTTATTAAATAAAATATGTGATTTTTATTTTTAACGACTTTCTGATTATTGCATTTATATTCGAAAAAAGATATTCTAATATGTATTCTAATATTTACTGTAACATTACACTGCAATTGTTGCAATTAATTCTGCATGGAGTATGTCATAGACATACTTCAAAGGTTGCTTGCATGCAAATTGAGCCATAATTGAATTAAATTCCTGGAGTACCTCATGCTCCAACAGAACAATCGACATGCCTTAGTAATATACCACGCGGTTACATTTTTTCAGGTGGCTTCACCTGCTGTTTAACCTGGGGGTACAGGTGGTCGTGGGACTTCCCTTAGAAATGGTTCATGGAAGCCTGAGGATCGCCGCGGTTTACATGGCCGGGGTTCTTGCCGGTGAGTAATGTCGTCTGCAATGTGAATTATGTTATGGTACATCTACGATTTATGCATCTATGTTAATGCTCGTTTAACCATCGTGTTTCGTCGTCCATCAAACAAACTTAAATCAAACAAAATTTTAACTTGAAGTAATTATAAAGTTTTGCAAAACTGTTTAATGTTTGTTTATAAAATTTACTTTATTCAAAACAGTTATACAGACCTTATTGTTTTCCATGTAAATATATTCCATTGTTTAAATATTTATTCTTTATCTAATTATTATTATACTTTTTAATGCAAAACGTATTGAACAGATTTTATAATACATAACAAACATATAGCTTTTTATTATTCATTTATTGTTTTTTAATCACATTCAGTTTTTATTTTAGTTTATTGCTACTTCATGTACGACAATCAGTTGACAGGGCAATTTATTTTCTTTCTATTTCTGTTTCTTTTTAAATTTTTCTCTACCGGATGTGTTTTTACGTTTGGAATTATAAATGTGTATATAAATACAAATCGGATATATCATAAAACGCGAACACCATACCTGAAGTCCAAAATATACGTCCAAGATATACAGGGTCCTAATTATCCAAACATATGCTCCCTGCTATAACGAAGCGTTTTAATTAAAATTCGTTAATGTTAATATAATTACGCTGGCAGCTGGATAATAAAGCGCACTTTTCATTCGTAATTTTGTGCATTTTCCAAATAATTGTATGTAGTAACTTGATCTCTCGAATTTTGTCGGTGACAAGCTGAATTTTTTACAATTTATCACATTAAATGAAAAAATTTTCACCTAATACTTTTCCTTTGTCCTATCTTGTTATACCAATTAAGAATTTTAAACGGAAATATTTTTTATAACTTTTACATTATCGTCCCCTTTCTAACTAGTTTCTGTGCGAAACATTTTTGCATATTTATCGAGACAACAAAGGCAACCGAGTAATTCTGGTAAATTGTTCCATCCCGTGTATATGTATGTACGAAATATGTATACATAGGGATACATGTGCGGGCAAACGTATTTGTATACATCTAATTGTCATTTGCATAAATTCGATTAGACACAGATCCCGAGTTATTAGCGGTCATGAAAGTAAAACGTGGCAAAATGGAGCGCATGAATAATTAACTCTAGCCGGATGGGAACAAAGAGGATTCAGGAATTAGATAGGGGCATGAAGGTATAGGAATTTCAAAGTAGTGTGACGATGTTACTATTAATAAATTAGTAAAAATGGGCGATGTGTATTTTTTCATACATTACATTCACATTTATACATTAATTACAATACAGTAAAATGCTAAGAAAATTGTACATTGCAAGTACAAATCGATATAAATGCTGTAAAGATAGTCTTAAAAGACAAAATTTGCAAATTACGTCTCACGATCATCGCATTTTCGAATTCGACGAAGTCGTTTACCCTTTAAAGTCCATCAGGGTGAATATCAATCAAATCATTGCACGAAATAAGATTCTATATAAGGATGAAGAATATATATATATAGAAGAAGAAGCTGTGAGAGTACAGTTTTGCATTAAATATCACGATAAGATATTTTGAGATATTATATCTGATTCCAATATCTCATTTTAGAAATTAAAATTAAAATTAACAATAAGAAGAGTATTGATATCATTTTTTGTTATATTTAAATTGAGCTGACAAAACAATTTTATATTGAGTTGTCCGGAAAGTTCGTGCCGACTAACTTATATAATTTAATAAATGTATATTAAAATTTAAATTTTCTGCGTTTCAATTTTCGTTTAACATCGGCACGAACTTTCCGGACAATCCAATATATCGAATATTTTATTAAACTTAAAAACTTAGCAAAAAATGATATAATTAAATACATCGTATTTACGATCTTATTTACTAAAAAATATTGCATAATCAATTCACTTTGATAAGTTCAATTTTTATTACAACACTCAACTATTGCTTCTTTTCTATTTCTTGGTATGCATCCTTTTAACTTGATTCACTTTACACAATCACACTATTTTTATCATTTAAATAACTTTATAATACATTTATATTTGCACTTACATTATCACTATCGAGTGACATATTCCGTATGATTATATATATATATATAATTGGATGAAAGAAAATACAAATTAGAACTTCTATAATAAGAGATTAGTCAAAACAAAAAAAATAACGAATAATTATCTCTTTCTTTTTTTCTTTCTTCCATTTTTCAAAAGTGTACGAAGCTATCCAAACATATACCGAATGGATTACAAATAACAATCAATCAATAGATTAATCCGCTTTTAATAAACTGGACAGTTTTATTATATGCTCTCTAATGTAAATTATTGCGATGTTATTATCTATAATTTTTATCTCGCGCGGATTGGCAAACACGCAGAATAAATACATATTGTTCGATTCAACACTCTCAACACTTGTTCGCACACGATATTTATCTTTGATGGACGGAAAGATGCCATTGCGGAGTATGAGTAATCCGACGAGAGAACACTAGCTATCTTGATGCACATTTTTCGTACACTGAAAAAAGAGTCTGGTTGCATTAATTGGAATTTGAAATTATGGTTGAAAATAGACAAATCGGAATTTCTGATTGAATTTATATTAATATAATTCTAATTGAAATATATAACCAGAATTCTGATTGATGTGATTATAATCTTCTGATTATAATCTTCTGATCATATATTCATTTTCAACCAAAAAATTTTGTTTAATCAGTAAACTTTTTGAGAAGAAATGACTAATCAGTATGACGTAGGTAAAACACGAATGAGACTTGAGCATCGCTTTTTAAGACTTAAGTCTTTATATGGATAAAATATACATAAAACAAAAAAAAAGAATTCTTTTTGAGCAAACGAAGAACACTTTAAAATCAAATTTACAACAATAAAAGTGTATTGCAGTCATAAATATGAGTAAAAAGAATAGTTAAACGATATGTTGGAAGGAGTAATAAATCGTTTATAAAAAGTATGAAGATTGCAAAAGTAAGATGGATGTTCCTTCACATTTTTCGCGCTACGACAGAAACATCAAGCTCTTTCGAATGTTATCGACTGCCATCTCCATCTTTTTGTCGTTTTCATATCTTGTGAAATTTCCCGATTGCGCATTTCCGACTGTCTTTGTCTAACCGTTTTATCCTATTTTCCCGTTTTCGCACGTATCTTCTCTGTTCGTCTAAAATCACCCACAAGAATGCGCCGCGGCGACAGCCCGTCTGGGCCCACCGCGACAAGATTACTTCGTATGCATCGCGATTGCGACGATGTAATGCGATTGCAACGACACAAGTGCAACGGCATCAACATTCCCCGTTCCTTCTTTCTCTCATCGTGGACACACTACTTCACGCGCCTTGCATTGCTCGTTTTTCTTCCTCCGACCGATCGACTCTTTAACATTGATTGAATTCTGATGACAGACACAATCGATTAATCTAAGACATTAAAAAATATTCTTTTTCCTGTAAAAATGTAAAAAGGAATAACCAGGTGTAATCTGTGATATTTTGGAACGATCTTAAATATCGCTACTTATTTAAATTAATTAAAAGTGACAATTCTGAAGAAAATGTTAGAAATGAATTCGTACTTATATCAATTTTTATTCAAAATTTATTGCTAAAAAAAATTGTATAATATATATTATTGTAACATTTAGAATTGTTATTACAATTATTTCACGCTTTTAAATAAAAAATAATATTTTATTGTACTTTTGTTATTTGACATTCAAAATTTTCGTTTTTATTTTCATTCAATCATTATATAGTATAATCGGTTACTCGTATATTGCTGTGATCAATTAACAATAATTGTTATAAAATGGTAAAAGTATTTGTGCTACATTGCATATATCAATATTGCGTCATATTGCAGAAAAAGAAAAGAAAAAAACGCAATCATCGAATTAATAAAGCGCATAAATCAACGTTTTAAATTATGCGGTCGGTGTACCACATGAGTGTAAATTATCCTCACTGTGAAACCAGGGGCAGCTTATAAATGCACTTCTCCGGGGTGGCACGGATTAATGTCGTTTACGACATCGTCGCGCTTATTGCTGGCTGTACTCCCTGTTCTACCTATTGCTCGACCATTTCCACTTGGAAATTTGGAGCGAGTAACACTATGAAATAGCGATTTGCCATATGATTTGTCATATGAAAGTAGAATAAACAATG